ATAATTATCTATTTATTTTATTCAAGATACTCACTTTACAAAAAAAGATAACAGTATAATTCGTTCTCTCTGGGGCTACGAAACTTTCTCCTGTCCAGGTTCCTCTGACTCGAGAGGAACATCAATTCTATTTAATAACAACTTCGAATTTAAAGTCCTCAAAGAAAAAATGACGACCGCGGAAACTACGTTATTTTAGAAGTTCTGATGGAAAATAAATATACTTTTTTACAAGTAAATGTTTATGGGCCAAATAGAGACTCTCCGGCTTTCTTTGAGAGCATCGGTAAAATTTTAAGAGAATTTCAAGGCGATTTCATTATTCTTTCCGGGGACTTTAATTTGGTTCAGAAGCCAGAATTAGATTACTATAATTATAAAACGATAAATAACCCGAAGGCGAGAAAAAAGATATTGCAGTTAAAATCTGAGTTAAACTAAGTAGACCCATGGAGAATTCAACACAATAATAAAAAAGAATTTTCCTGGTTTACGAATAACCCAGTAAAAAGGGCCAGACTAGATTTTTTCTTAATCTCCAGCGAAATTATGTCAATGGTAGACACAACCGAAATGACTCCGGGTTACCGAACAGATCATTCAATGGTCGTAATTAAACTTATCATATCTGAGCAAAAAAGGGGGAGGGGTTTTTGGAAACTCAACAATTCGCTGCTGAAACAGTATAAACATATATGTCGACGGGGTAAAGACAACAATTAAGGATCTAAAAATACAATACGCCGCTTCACCGTACGATAGGCAAAAAATACACCTGATTAAAAATGATGAATTGGAACTCTAAGTAGATGATCAAACATTTTGTGAACTGCTATTGTTGCAAATTAGAGGATTTTCTATTTCATATGCTAGTGCAAAAAAGAAAGAAAATAAATGCAAATTGACAGAAATTCAATCAAAAATATCTGAATTACAAATTGAAATTAGTACTTATTATTCTGCATCGTTAGATGAACAACTAAGGGCACTAAAACAAGAAGAGGAAAATTTGAGAAAAGAATATATTCAGGGGGTTATTGCCAGAGCCAGAATAAAATGGGCAGAAGCGGGTGAAAAACCTACTAAGTACTTTCTCAGCCTAGAAAAAAGAAATTTTACTAATAAAATAGTAAGAAAGCTGGTATGCGAAAATGGAGACATCATGACTAACCAAGACCTTATTCTTACAGTAATAGAAAAATTCTATCGTGAACTGTACGCTTGTCATGACGACACCATAGAGGACGTTGACTTGCATAGAATAATAGATAAGGAAAAAGTTAACATACTTGAAAATAATCTGTCATATAAACTGGTAGGTAAATCACTAGTCAAGAAGCTCTTTTGGCGCTTAAAGGCATGAAAAACAATAAATCTCCAGGCCCGGATGGATATACAATTGAATTCTTTAAAATTTTTTTGGCAAGATGTCGGAGATTTCCTAGTACGTGCCCTAAGTTATGGTTTTATGAAGGGGCAATTGTCCACCACCCAGGTGCAGGGGGTTATCACTATACTGCCGAAAGGTGACAAACCAAGAGAATATCTGACCAACTGGAGGCCGATCTCCCTGTTAAATAATAGTTATAAATTTTTTTCCTCGTGTATTGCTAATAGGTTAAAATCTGTTATGGAATTTTTAATTCACGAAAATCAGAAGGGCTTTTTAAAGGGGAGGTATATAGGAGAGAACATAAGAATTCTGTATGATGTTCTGCACTATACAAAAATCAAAGAAATCCCAGGTATTATTTTACTTATTGATTTCCAAAAAGCTTTTGATAGCATATCCTGGTCTTTTATTTACAAAACATTAGAATTCTTCAATTTTGGAAATGACCTTATTAGGTGGATTAAAACCCTTTACAAAAACGCAGAACTGTGCGTCATACAGAATGGGATATTTTCCCGTTTTTTCAAAATAGGCAGAGGGTGTCGACAGGGTGACCCTGCATCCCCATATATATTTAATTTTTGCGCAGAAATAATAGGTATTCTTATAAGACAGGAAAAGAACATTAGAGGGATTGGTATAGCAAGAGAAGAGATAAAATTATTACAATATGCCGATGATACAGTGGTTTTTTTAGACGGCTCAGAGAAATCGCTAAAAAGTGCTCTAGACCTTTTGTTCCAGCTTTCCAAATATTCTGGGTTAAAACCAAATATTTCTAAAACAAAAGCAGTATGGATTGGCTCAAAAATGAATAGCAAGGAAGTTCTGTGTAGAAACGAAAAATTAGACTGGACAAATGAACCTGTATCTGTTCTAGGTTTTACCTTTACAGCCGAACTTGATTGTATAGAAGAACGCAATTATAACATTAAGTTGGCTGTCATCAAAAAAGAGATTAATAACTGGTCAAAAAGGTATCTGTCCACCCTGGGAAAAATAACAGTGGTTAAATCACTACTGATACCAAAGTTTACCCATTTGTTTATGTCATTACCAGGTCCCAGTGCCCAATGGATAAAATAGTTAAACTCTATTCTTTTCAAATTCATTTGGCATGGGAAAAATGATAGGGTATCAAGAAAGACAATTATTCAAGACTTCGAAAATGGGAGCTGTAGAATGGTGCATTTGGAATCATATATTAAAGCCTTAAAATTAACTTGGATTCGCAGATTACTATCGAATACTAACCAATACGGAATGATCTTTACCGAAATTACAAGTTGCGACACGACGTCGCTCTGTCAGTTTGGACCTGTATATGCGAAACAATGCGGGGAAACCACGACAAATTTATTCTGGAAAGAATTATTTTCTTATTACTCACAGTATGCTAGCGCAATACAGGAAAATGACCCACAATATTTTCTGGAAGCTCCATTGTGGTATAATCCGAATATTTTAATTGAAAACAAGGTCGTATTCTTAAAACCATTATACGAGAAAGGCTTCCAAGTGGTGCTCGACTTGTTCGATTCAAACGGCAACGTGCTCTCATATAGAGAAATCACGGATGCGTACAAAATACGCCTTCCATTTACGAAATATTTTGGCCTAAGAAATGCCATCTATAATGCATTTCCCAATTTGAAAGGAATAACTGCTACACAGAAAACTTATAACCTGAAAATACCCAAACCGCTTATGATAATATGGAAAAACAAAAAAGGCTGTAAAGTGATTTAAGATGCGTTTATAAAAAAAACTGTACGAAACCCCTAAAAATGAAATAAAATGGGAAAGGTTCTTTAATAAAGCAATAACATGGAATCTTAGCTACAATCGTCTCCTGACAGATATAAAAGAAACCAAACTCAGATGGTTTAACTTTAGATGTATTCATAGAATTCTAGGGACAAAATACTTACTGTTCAAATATAAAATAGCGGATAATCCTCATTGCAATTTATGTAGCACAAGGATGGAAACAATTGAACATCTATTCATAGACTGTAATCTCGCAAAAAATTTGTGGAAGCAAATCGAAAACTGGTTTAGGGAAGAAAAGGGAGCCAATATTCATATTTCTGCATCGGACATTATTCTCGGAAAAAATGATGAGGAATTGAATTTATTAATTTCCCAGGTAAAATATTACATTTACAGTAAATCAAAAAATGGGGGACATCTGTCCTTTAGGGACATCGAATGCTATCTGTGTTAGAGAAAAATGCTGTGCTTTTCAACATCTTATTTACTAATGAAAATGATGAGCCATCATTAGTAGTTATAAGTGTCTGTATGTGTGTGCGTGTGTGAGAGAGAAGTAAGTGTGGGGTAAAAAAGAATTATTGTATTCTGTAATTAACATTACCTAAGTTCAATAAAAAAAATTAAAAAAAAAACAATTGCAAACTTGCATTTTACGGGTTTTCAATAATTATTGGCTCACTTTTCAAAGCAAGCGTTTTCTTGGCACAGTACAAATTTCTTCACAGCCTGACATATGCTTTAATGCGACTATTACTGGATAAGATAATCAAACCCGCGGCTCCTTATATCACTTTATACAGATATAATAAAACCAAAACACAGGAATGAGAGGTTGATTCTGGGCCTCTTGATTACATAAGACACCACATTAAAGCCAATTTTATGTCTCCTCCATCCCGGTGTACCACCAACTTTCATAGCCCAATTCACAAGGCAAAATGCAACAGAGAATATAGATGGTTCGAGTTTTTTAACACAAACAAACAAACAATGCCTCCTTTATCATATAACCCCACTGCGAGTGAGGTTCTCTACACTAGTATCACCCGAAAGAGTGTAAATAATGAAAAGGAAGATCGTGGAAATCTGAAACTAAATGTAAGTAATTGAATCGGCGTAACAGGTGCCCAAGTGGTATCAAACAAATTTCGGACATCAGTTTCCATACGGAATGATCTTATTTTGTGCAGACGCCTTGATGGCTATCAGAGCAAACGAGTAACCTATACGGACAAAAGAATTTTTGTCTACGGGAACTGTTATAATAGTAAAAACAATAACCAACCACATTCATTAACGCACTGAGTGGTATTATTCTCACCACCGATATCAGTATTCATATTTAGCTATTATGTTGCCAAAAGGATACATGTAAACATATTATAAAAGATGCAAAGGAACGTAGTCCCTAACGGTGACTTAACGGCCCTAGAAAGATATATGAACGGGGAGTGGGGGGACTGACACTTTATTCACACAGTAAAATAACATTAAGACAGTATAATATTTGTTTTCCACCATTTGCACTTTATTGTAAGTCCCGAGTTTCATTTATGGTCTTTGTACACTTTACAATGCAAAGTTAGGATTTTGTTCATGTGTTTTGCATAATTTTCTACAGCAGATTTAACATCTGAAAACAATATGTTCCGTTATGAATCACCTTGCACGAAATCTATTTAATTGCTCTTTGGCTGTTAAAAATTGCATAGGGAAAAAAACGCACACCGATCCATGGTCTTATGTTAATCTCGTTTTTATCTAATATGCGTGAATGACATCGGAAGTGCAACAACCAGTGTCAAGCACTTAATCGCGGCTGTAACGACGACATACAAGGATTAAACAGCAGGCAGGCCGCTAGTGATGGAATTCGATGATGTGATCCGACGCGTTGGTGAGTTTGGGAGGATTCAGCTTCGAACAACAATATTTAGTGGTCTAGTGACAATATCGACAGCCATGCAAATGATGGTAACCGTCTTTATGCAGCAATTACCGGCGCATAGGTAAAATATAGAGCATCAAATGACATTGGTTATAGTTGAGCGTTTCCATATGCTCAAAAAAAAGACAAGTCGCTTGTTCTCTTGTCTAACAATTATGAATATATCTACTGGATTTTTTTCATGTGCATGGTTCTTTAATCTATTCACGTTTCCACGAAATTAATACCTTTACAAATTCGGATAGGGGAATAGATGGGTATCGATGATGGGACGTATCGTTCCGTGGGTGAAATTTCTTCAGCTGTGCGATTCACATCGCTTCTGCTATCTGCAAAGTTTGTGTACACAAAATTGATCTTTGCTATATAGTTTATCGATGCAATTCATAGGCCACCTCCTGTGAAGATTTTTGACGCTAAGAGCAACACATAATTGCCGATAAATTCATAATCTGTATGAGCCAAATTTACTCGTATATCAAATGATCCCCAAGCTGTCACGAATGCTTTTTTTGTTGATATTAAAATCGGGCCCACATGAGATGCCAACATAGGGTGGAAAGGTCTCCGTTTTGACTAAAAATGTTACGGTTGTGTACAGTCAATTCGATTTGTCTCGAAGCATTTCATGATTTTGTCAGCTTTTGCAAATGCATCGCAAACGTTTCAATTTAACATTGCAAACATAGCCAGTAATTTAGTTCAGGACTTATAATGGGATTTGCAATATCTCAACATACTATATAAAAAGTGAGTACGTCTAGGATACGCATTTTATAACACTTATGATATAACAATTAACAATTCTTGTTTTTAGGTGTGCCATTCAAGACCTGGCAATTGACACCTTTGATATCCAGGGTACCTGGCACCAATATCTTATCAACCAAACTATTCCTGTAGACGAGAATGGGGAGTATGAGGGATGTCTGTGGCGTAGTGGGAATGATTCCGGAAATGGTAGTGTGTTGCCGTGCAAGGACTGGGTTTATGATACATCTGTATTCCCGAAAAGTGAGTAGTTCATTGGTTTATTGTTGTTCATTGGTTTATTGTTGTTGTTATATACCTTGCTAAACTGTGTGATACACTGTGTGACATTGGGTGGATCTATAATATAATTTGTACAACAACCAAGTTCAAATACAGTAGTGAAATGATGGGATTCTATGTACAACATGCTTCCTTTGGTTACCAATAAAAATTACTATTTACAGGTACATGTGTATGTATATAGTATATGTATAGTATAGTATATGTATGTATGTATATAAATACATATATAGTGCTTGTATGTATATAGTACTTGTATGTAGTTTTTTATTGGTACCCAATGCTTATATATACTAACAGTGTTTCCCATTAAAGTTTATAGCGAATCATTTCAAAGAACAGGTAAAGTAGGCTACTTGCACAATTTGATATCTCCTAGCAGATATTTGCAAGTTTTGATAACCTTATATACATGTATCTTTTAGCAGATGTTGCATAATTTATCATTATAATGTAAATATGTCTTGAAATGTATTCACCGTAAGATTTATATAAAACATTTTACTTTAAATTAAATTGGTGAAAGTGTCTATTTTTTTCTAGCAATTCTATGTGAAACTTTCCTTCTTCAATGAACATATTCGTGATCTGTTTTAAAGAAATGAATTACAAAGACTGTAGGCTAACATCTTGATTTCATTATATTGATTCTATCATTATGAGTGGTCTGAGAGCCATTCTTTCTCTGAATAGTTGCCTTGGTTGTGGAGTATACTTTTGCACATGCATAATGTGTAATCCGTATCATTGATATGAAATTACGATGTACAAGACCATAATTTATATATGCACCAGAAATTGATTGATCTGATTTGAGATGAACGGATAATCTCCGTTTTTTCATTTCAGTTTGGTCTATTTTGTGACAGCTCCTTGCTAATAAATATGGTAAACGTGGTCTATCTAGCAGGAGTGGCCTTGGGGGCCACTGTCGGTGGTTTAGCAGCAGACTAGTAAGCATGTCGTTTTGAAATTTAATTAGCTCCGCCAAGGAGGTTATGTTTTCACCCCTATCTGTCTGTCTGTTTGTTTGTCATCAACATAACTCAAAAAGTTTTTGACCGAAATTTTCAGGGTAGGTGGGGAATCCAAATCAATTATCAATCAATAACAATCATAAATCTCTGTCTTGGCGGAGGTCTGCGCTTTCGGAATGCTTTTCTAGTTTAATACATAGGTTGTCAATATTCAATCAGCTAATTCGTTTTGGATCAGACAGTTTTTGTTTGCCTTTTATTAAAATACTCATAGGGCCTAAACTTGGAGGCCATTCAGACCAGAAGATCAGAGGATCTTCTGATCCACGGATCAGCCATAAGAGAGCTTTAGATTGCTCCTGTCTTTTTGGTCGGATTTTTGGTCGGAAATTTAACCTACGTTCGTGACCCTTTTCTACCCCTTTGACATACAGCATAGAATGCTAGTAGAAAATTTTGTTCAAACATCATTTTCGGGTAAAATTAAACAATGCCTTTTGGTACTGCTCTTAGTTATACTACTTGAAACTATATGCTGGCATTTGGTTGGTTTTTATGACAAAAATTGATTTTTTTTTGTATGCATCTTAAATATTGTTCATTTTGTCTAGTGGAATAATTAAACTCCATACTAGGGATAGTTTTTCCAATTCTAATTTTTTCGTTAACAGTATTGGTCGCAAGTGGGTATCTTTCATCGCATGTTTGGTGCATGGGGTTGGAGGATTGGGAGCCGCTTTCTCACCTAACTACGGGGCTTAAGTTGCATTCCGTTTCTTCGTAGGCAGCTGTCACGGCGTACTTAACAATTCGATCGTAGTTCTGAGTAAGTAGTCACGAGAAAAAAATAGGTGTGTGTGTTTTCATTGTTCAGTGACGTGTACATATATTTTTTCACAATTAGATACACTTATTTAGAAATCTTTTTGACGTTGGGCTAAGTGTAATGCAGACTTGACATGGAATAATATGGAATATCCTTTTCAAATCATTTGAATCAATTATTTCCTGAATTGCTGACTGGTAAATGAAAATAAGGACTCGTCAGTGAAGCAAACAAAATACATGGCCTATTCTTAGACACATGATAACCATAAAAGCGTTATTTTGGATCTCCATATTTTCCAAATTATCATCTGCAAAGGAGATATACACCTAACAAAGGGCCTTCATATCTGTGTCTATTCACAGCAAAGGCCATGGTCGCTGTTACGCCTGGCCTCATCTGGCTGCTGCCAGAGCTCTCAACCGACAAGGCACTCATTGGGGTGGGGTTTTTAGAGTTTAATCTGTAATAACCTTCCAGGCAACGGTCAGAACCTGTCCAATTTTGTTTAGTTTTGTTGTAGGCCATTGATTAGGTGAGTAATGACCTACTGACCTTCTATGTGGTTCAAATATGTCGATTTTGATGACCAAGGTAGCTGCTCATTCCCTTGATTCTGTAAGTTACCTGCTTTCAAAAGTACTCTGTGTGAACCAACAATCTCAAAGTGCAACCTAAATTGTTCCTAAGGTGCCCTAATTAAATGATAGCCACGTAGTTCTCAGATTATTTGATGTGGTTCAGGTTTTCATCGATGGCTACCATTGGTGTTGTGGCACCAATGTGGTACCCGCTCCAAATTCTGCCGCTGTCAATAACCCTAGTCACTTTTAACGCGGCACACGCTTCGACGTAGGTCTCTTCAGGATGTCTGTAAGCTCTATTTTGGCTATTTGATTGCTAGAAATTTGAAATTTGAAATTTAATTTCAATAAAGAAAGCCACGCGAGACAGTGTTTACTCAGAAATGGTCAACGTCCCCAATTTATTAGAAAACAGACGACGATGTTTTGCTGTTTACAGTGGCTACCTTATAGGTTGTCTTGTATTCTTACTTGCTAGGACCAGTTTGGTGTTGGCAAAAGGCCTTGAAAAACGCGTTCTTGTGACAATATTCCCCTCATTCTGAACGGACTGGGCCAGTTTTGTTTAGTCGTAGCAGCATATCCGGAAGGACATAACCTGGTGGTAAGATTTCGATGCATTGTATGTGGCCTTTGTGATAAAGGTTCATCAGTCTGGGCATAACTCTCTAAAACTGTGGGGACCCTTCCGTGTGACACAATAATCTGTCTAACATCGTCTTTTTCGTACCATTCTGGCAAAGATTAACAAAATTTAAAACACTGCTTAATTTTCTTTACGCGCTGTAAAACTAACCGCTTGTACGCAAAATTTCAAATTATTCTGTGCAGTAGTGGCGGACATATGGATACTTTTTTGACAGAACCATGATTCGCCAAAGCCAATATTTAACCATCCCAAAGAAGCACTACCAATTAAATCACTGCATATTACACAATACGGCAGTGCAACAGACATGGTAGTCAGTTAATTGGTAGAGATATACCTGACAACATACTTCTCCTTTCACATATCTTATATGAGTTTTTAATAAAGAAGGTATTTTACCCAGGGATGTCTTTGAAACTGAGCTATTCAAATGTCAAGTCTGTATTTCACAAGTGGTTATGTGTGTAGAACGACAAATATGTAGTGTGCACGGCTGTGCTATTGTTCCCATCCTTTATTCCCTTGCCGTGTGAAAATATTTTAAAAGATTCACTGTTTGGATTTTCCCCCATTTTGTTATATTTCTTAAAATGCCAATGATTCAATAACCTAGCACATTTGCAGGCATGGAATTTGTATCACCAAGAAGACGCATGGTATCCGTGTGCACATTGGCAATGTCCTGGGGAATAGGCATGGTGCTTACAACTCCTGTGTCTTATCTTGTACGGGACTGGAGATATCTACAGTTGACTGTTGCCTTGCCACCATTCTTATACCTAGGCTTCTGGTGGTAGGTTCCGTTTCTCTCTTGCTCTAGATACTTTTTATGCTAGCAAAACAAACGAGTGTACATTAGTAATTTCATGGAAAATTATTTAAACACAAGCATGTGTACATGCAGCCATGCATGTATTGGGTGGTGTATATTTATGTTGTAAATATGTAAGAAGTATTCTAACTTCCAGGCTA